AGATGATTAGGAAAGCACCAGTAAATTTCTTTGAATTTGCAATTGCTTTTTCTCTCCTGTGAATTTCTTTACAAGAGGAAATTATCCAGACCGCTGCTGTGGCTGCGGGTCAGATCTGATCCTAGGACTTGTACCGCTCTAGACAGCTCTGAACTCTTCTTTGCGTGCCTGCTGTATCTTACCAACATCACAGTTGCAAACATGGGAACTGTATCGTGGAAATCCCCAAAACACAGCTGCAGGAAAATGTCATGATCCTGCTCTATACCACATTCTGCATCCATGATACGCGGAAGTGCTCATGCGCAGAGTGGAACCCAGAGCAGTGTCCACTGCTGCCCATGAATCCCTTGAGACTGCCACTCTCGATGACACGTAGAGGTAAAGCCTTGACAACGCTGGAGGCAATGGGAGTTTTACCATTTAACAGGAGTTTTGCCATTGGTTTAGTGTGGGCCGAAGTCACTCCAAAGTCCTAAATCCTCGTGATCCTTCACACAGGTGATCTCCCCAGAGAGACGTATCAAATACTTACCATCCTCCCTTTAAACTTAGCCACGGGTGCACAATAAAACCTAGCTCATCCAGATTTGTGGCTCCTTAGAGATTAACCTGGGTTATACAGACACATAAATGTAGTTGCCTATATCTACAGAATCCTGATTTCATGGGATCTTAATAATTTCCCTTATTTAGTGTCTACTTCACATAAATATATTTCAAGTTTCCTACCATTTGTTCATAAAGATACCCCAACGTTTCAAGAATTTAAGAAAGCTAAAAATACTTTTACAAATATCTTTAAGAAGTTATTCCCTGAAGATGCAATGAGTGGAGGCTGTTCCTATATCAGCCCTTGGATTTGATTAAACAGCTAAAAAAAAAAAAAAAAAAAAAAAGGAATAGATTAATTATTAAAATTAGTCCTACAGTGCACCTGAGCACGCTGAGTGAAACCTGATTCCCAGGGAATCTTAGGGGAAGGGAGGGCTGAGGATGCTCAGTGCCCCACAGAACTGGGCTTGCAGGGAGAAAGTCAGAGGTTTCCTTTGTGAAATAGTAAGGGCTGAGTGTATTGTTTGCCCAAGAGCAGTTTGGGGTGGTTTGTTAAATAAATAAAATAATAATAAAAAAAAAATTCAGTTCTAGGCTTGGAATCAATGCAATTCCCCTTTAGCCTATTAGACTTGCCGAGAAGCCCCTCTCAGGACATGGCAGCAGTTTCTCTGACTGCTCAGCCATGTAATAACACTGAAAACAAAGGCACGAGAACTTACTGCGTCACACACTAATGTCGTTACTCACTTGATAAAACCTTGGCCGTGCCGCAACATTTCACGCTTTGGGTTTGCCCAAAGCCACGGAGTAGCTCTGCTCATTATACAGGTAACTTCTCCCCAAAGCCGGCGTGTGGCAGCAGCAGTCCCCAGGCTGGGTCTTTCCAGGCCTGTGCAAAGCCTGGCCTGAGCTTGGTTTCACACTTGCCTGCACATCTTGCTCCACTTCAGCTTGCTGCCTCTCTGGAGACAGCGTGCCTTGTGTTTGCCATTTCATTCTCATTCACCTTGCCTGTCACCTTAAGGCACCCTTAATTATAACGTCATCGAAGCTTTATTCAACAAGATCTGGAGATTGTGCTTTAATTACAAAAATGAAAACACGTGATTATAAGATGAGTAAGTATAAAACACAGTATTTGGCTATAAGTAGCAGCTGAAACCTTTTTAGATGTTTCAGCGTCTCTCATCCAGAAGTCCCTCTGTCCCAGATGGAAGATTTTGGGGTCCAGGACTCCTTGTGCCTATCTATATTTTGGATGAGTTTTACAGCCTATTACCTCCATTTCTGCTCATCTGAAGCTCACTTTTGGATACAAATTGAAATGTCTTAAGTGGTTGTGTCTTTGGCCAGGCATTTTCAGTGATTTGACTTCCCATCCTATTTGTTGAAATACGTATGGCTCCTTGGGGATATCACTTACATAAAGGCCATTTCCCTTTCAGTCCTACTCAGTCCAAATCCTCAGTTTTCCTACTCAGTCCAGCTGTCCAATGCGAACTTTTTACATTTCCCAGAAATAGCTGAGGCTACTGGTATGTTCCAAGCAAAGAACATGCGGAGTATTAGGGTGAAGCAGAATACATTAAGCTTAGGACACCTATTGGATTACCAGTTTTCTCTAAAGGCTGCACTTGACACATTATTAACAGTAGCTAGTTTTTTCTCCTGGGTTTACCCATGAGTTCATGTTACTGTTTTCCCTTAAGTTTTGCTGCAGTTCTGTGTCACAGGACAGTTACAACTACTTTGTTGTTACCTATTTTGTCCCCCAAAGGACAAAATGCAGTTCCAGAGGCCTCTAACTTAGGTTGAGGGGAAAAAAAAACCAAAACCAAAAACCCGCTACATTGCCTAAAAACTACGGTTTTGAGACATTGATCATTGTGTAAAATCAGTCTATGCGCTTTGCTATAGGTATTTTTTATTAATGGAGTGCTTCAAAATGGGGCAAAAACCGACGTAAGACTTCAATAAATCTTGGAAATGACCGGGTATTGCAGAAGTTAAGCTCACCCTCATTACCCTGTAACACTACCTCCTGCGAGGCTACCTGAGACGTATTGTACAGTAATTGTGTTCTGGCAGCTGACTCCGAGAAGCTGGCGTTAACCTTTCCCGCTCCCCCGATACGTACAGATTATTCCCATTAGAATGAATTGATGAATGAAAAGATCATAGTTAATGGGTATTACTTTAACACAGAGGGCCAAATCCTATTATCCTGTGCAACAGACAGTGTAAATAGTATTTGTGTAAAGGAGCCCCGCTGGGACAAAGAGAAATGGAATCCGCTGCTGCAAGGCCCCACATCTGCCCGTTGCTCACCCCATCCTCGCTTAGTTAAAAAACCTCTCCAGTTCTGCAGCTGGTCTGTGTGGTGGAAGGATGATGGGGTTTGGCCCACAGAGCTTTGACGGAGCCTATTAATGGCAATAGGAAGGCTCTCATTGACATTAGTGATCTTGGTGACGGGCCAGCAGAGAGGAAGACTGGCGGCGTGGTTTGTGCTTGCGATCTTAAGAACAGTTTCTGAAAAAGTAGCGGTGTGTATTCTCCGTTCTTGTGGTACTTTGATCACATTTCACCCTACCTTTTTCAGATTAATAAGTACATTATGTGGGTTATGCAGATTACAGTGTGCACATTAAGTTATTTAATACATTATTCACCAACAAATATAAGATATAAAGTAAGTCTGCATATAATTACCCACAACTGCTGACTGACTTATAATTAACTTTGAAAAATTGCTGGTTTAGGAGATATTATAGATTACAATTTTAAATATAAGGAGCTTCAGAATAGCTCTCACGATCAGCACACATACAAGGTATTCAGTGAAGGATTAATTCCCTAAACTGCTAATCAGCTCTATCTCCTGTCTTATCAAATTGTAAATACATTATGCTGTATTAAAGTATGAGCATGCAGCTAATTAGAGCAGAGCCTGCATTTAATATCAGATACTCCCCCCTTGACACAACAAAAATGTTCTAAGGATGTACATAACAAGTGTTAACAAATGAAAGCGATTCTTTTTACAGTGATGCTGTGCTCCTACAGCAGCCTTTTGTTTTCATTTTGGAGGACTTTTTTTTAAAGAAAAAGAAGGAGGGAGGAAAATCACACAGTCTTTCTGGAGAAACAAGTTGGGGAAGACGTTAATTCTGTTCATTCTACAGCTGGAAGCCCACAGGAACCAACCCAGGGAATACAACCGAGGATCTACAAATAGTATCTGGATGACATCCAGCTAAAATTTGGTTCACTTTTACAAACATTTTTAATAGATTCTGATATTAAATGCTGCACAGCAAAATAACTTTTTTTTTTAAAAAGCAAGAAAACAAACCCGTCCACATTGTTAAAGGAATACAGTATAAATTTAAATGAAAGATCAGTGAAGCCTAGCCAAGCAAACAGTTTCAGAACCATAATTGAGCATCATTTGCAAAACTGCTTCTTTTAGTTGCTTTTTTCTGTTTCAAGCTCAAATAAAGTGATGCCATTATAAAGAAGGCAGGAAATAAAACATACTGAAATTATTCACCTATGAAACAAACATAGAACATGAGAGAATACACAGCAAGGAGCCTTTCAACCAGTTAGTTTTTTAAAAATTCTTTGTGTAAACCTCAAAGTTTTTTTGTGCCACTTGGAAGTTTTCACACCCCAAAGACCTCAGAACATAAGATGTTATTAATGTTATTCAGCAACAAAAGACATACATTTTGTCAAGATCTACACAATACACTACAATAGAAAATCCATGGGAGGAAGGGGCTTTTTTGGTTGTCTTCTTTTCTTTTTTTTCTTTTCCTTTCCTTTTCTTTTCTTTTCTTTTCTTTTCTTTTCTTTTCTTTTCTTTTCTTTTCTTTTCTTTTCTTTTCTTTTCTTTTCTTTTCTTTTCTTTTCTTTTCTTTTCTTTTCTTTTCTTTTCTTTTCTTTTCTTTTCTTTTCTTTTCTTTTCTTTTCTTTTCTTTTCTTTTCTTTTCTTTTCTTTTCTTTTCTTTTCTTTTCTTTTCTTTTCTTTTCTTTTCTTTTCTTTTCTTTTCTTTTCTTTTCTTTTCTTTTCTTTTCTTTTCTTTTCTTTTCTTTTCTTTTCTTTTCTTTTCTTTTCTTTTCTTTTCTTTTCTTTTCTTTTCTTTTCGAAGAGATTTACCAATAAAATCAATAAACATTTGCAGACTGTTGGCAGTGATACTGTTGAGATAAGGTAGAGTTACAGCCCTGTTTGATCAATGTTTATTACAGGGCTCATATTTTTTTAATAGAATGGATCAGAAAAGGGTGGGGTTTTTCCCCTCCCGGCACTGGATTCTGTAGGTTTTATATACACAGAAACTTTATCTGACTTGTTTCATTTAAATGTGTAACAGTTACTGGTATTCAAAAGCATCCTGGTTTGAACTAAAAGTTCCTTTCTTCACTCCCCTCAGGTTAATTTGTTGGCTTTTGGAGTGATTATTTATAAAGTATTTCGACACACTGCATTGTTAAAGCCAGAAGTTAGTTGTTATGAAAATATAAGGTAAGTTTGCTATTTAATACAAACTCTACCTTCTGTACGTTGAAATACAGCCAGAGATGAAAGTGAGCATTCAAAAATAACAGTTTAATCTTTTGGAAGATTTGTAGAAAAAGAAAGATTTTTTATTTTTTTTTTTCCCCCTGTTATCCCCTCATATAGATTTGGAGGTAGATTTTGCAGTCTTTATTCCCATTGAGCAATACCTTGTACGGTAACATTGGGGTTGTGTGAGAGGTGTAAGACTACAATGAGTGGCCCGTAACAACCAGAGGGTAAAGCCTGATGGCAAGGTTAAAGAAGTAATTGTCCTTTTTGCTTAAGTACTTTCCACAGCCTCTATAGAAGCCAAACCAGATGTCAAAACTTATGCCTGAATTAGGACCAAAATATTTGCCTTGAAGTAACAAGTAATTCAGTGATAAGAGAATCAAGCCATTCATGTTATTTGTAAAAAGCCTACAGTAGGACATTGTGCTTCTCTGGTGTGGGAGGAGTGGAGAGGGTGCTCTCCAGGATTTTTACTTTGCATGCTGCTATGATTTTTCCATCAACTCACTCTCTTTAAAACTGATTTATAGGAACCTTGAAAACCGTTTGTGCAGGAAAAGCTGAAGTGTACTACAGGGAACATTGAAAACAACTTACTGTTTGTGTTGCTTAGGAACACTCCTGCAGTTTCAATGCATTGCACTAGATTTATAGTTAGGATTTAGCAATTGTTTGATTGATTACTTTCTCTTATTCCTCACCCGTCATAGCTTCATGTGGTGAGCTGGTTTTAATGAAGTTGAAAATTATTCACTTTCAGAGGAACAGTGCTAAAAATGTCTGTTGTTCAAAGGAAGTCCTGCAATGACTGGGCTGAGAATGAATAAGAAAGTAATCAGTGGCTTCATTTCCAAGACAACATGCTGTAATTTGCTCGAGTCTGTGAGCAGGGCTCTACAGCACATTGGAAAAAAAAATCATAGCCAATCAGTTCCTATAATTTTAAAGCATCAATATGCTGACCCAGGAACTATTTGAAGGTATTTGTATTCTAAAAACAAAAATAATTTTTTTAAAAGAGAAAGAGTGAAAGAAAGAAAGTCTGGTTTTACAACCGGCACCATCTTCTGCAGTGAACCTGAGAGGCAGCCCAAGAACCCTTTGATGTCATGCACATGTACTGACTGACCTAAGAGCACACTGTACATTTTTCTGGGTTATTTTTTGAGGAGGATAAGGGGGAGGAGGAAAAGTGGGGGAATGCTTCATAACAGACATATGTTTTTCCTTGGGGAATTACACCAACAGTAGATTTAAATCAAATCATATGGTGCTGCAGTACACCAGAGAAAACATATCTAAAGATTAAAGAAGCCAGTGTTTTAAGGCCCTCCAGTTTCACTCCTTTGCCCGTCTGCAGCGGTTATGTGAGCCTATTCATGCCACAGTGTTACAGCACACCCTAAAGAGCACCCCATGCATTTGCACTTCTCAGGCCTTTGCAGCTGAGAAAAAAATTGCCTAAACAGGGTTCACCATCCAAAACAGTGAAAGAAGGGAAATAGCACACACCTGCCTGTTGTTTGCAATGTTTCCTTCCTGTCTAGATCCTGTGCCCGAGGTGCTCTTGCTCTCCTGTTCCTCCTTGGGGCTACCTGGATCTTCGGGGTCCTCCACGTCGTACAGGGATCTGTGGTTACTGCATATCTTTTTACAATCTTCAACGCTTTCCAGGGGATGTTCATCTTCATATTTCTTTGCGTGCTGTCTAGGAAGGTAAGTGTCCCATTCCTTGTGGGAAGCGACTCGGGCAGTCTTGTGGAGCTCCACAGGCAGGCACCCAGCGCTGCAGTGCAGTTGTGGTGCAAAGGTTTGAACAGAGCAAGGCAGGAAATCCTTGTGCCAGTGATGGGGGAGAGGAGGGAAGAGGGGAAATTTTGCTATTACCTTCACTGGAGACAGAACCTCTGCCCACTTTTATTTTCTCACATATTTCCTTGGTTTTAAAGCCAATGTATGAAACATGGAAAAATGTTTTTTAAAATTGTGAAACTGATTATAGTGCCGTTAACCCGATGAAGTGATGCACTACGTGCAGCAAAACTCCCTTCCAGTCTTCCCAGTTAGCAGCGGGATTCACGCTACCCACACCATCCTGAGATGATACATTCTTCAGTATCCTGTCCTAAAGTCAAAAGCAGCCCCACTTTAAATCATATAGTGACCAGAGCACTACAAAATTACTTAAAAGACATATAGATCTATTAATAAATTTATTTCATATTTTAATTCAGTATTTTTATTTCAGATTCAGGAAGAGTATTATAGGTTGTTCAAAAATGTTCCTTGCTGTTTCGGCTGCTTGAGATAAATGGAAGGAAAACATGTATGAGCATTTCAATGGAAAAAGGGAGCAACCTGGATGATGTTACGGATATTACAGAAAAATATGGTATTGTGAAAGTATAGAATGACCCAGTGAGCGGGCATATCTCTTAACTGAATTACTGACTGGTTTTGTACATACGTGTGCATTCATGCAGAGCACTTATATTATGCTGTATACAAACAGTATACAAAACAAACTGATTATTGCAAAACAAATATTAATGAAGACCAGGGAAAGAAGCAAATTTCCAAAGAAGCTCAAGACTTTTTCTTGACTTAGGTTTTGTTTCTGATATTAGAAATATCTGCAGTTCTTGAAAGCAAGATACCAAAAACCAACTGGCACAGCAGATTTTATGAATTGCTTTGCTAGTTGAAACATGTTCACTGTCTTTTTGTAGTAATGAGCTTCTTATACTAAGTTGTATGTGGCCATCTGCAGGGAATGGGTTCCATTAAAGAGTTACTAGATAAAGATCTGCTTTAGCCCAGACTTTTGAAACCCTTTCTTTTAATTTAAAGTAGATTAAAAAAGGAATTTGTTTAATATTATTCTCTTATCACTCTGAAATATATATTTGTATATTAATCAATTCTTTATTTTTATAACTTTTAAAGAACTGTTTAGATCTAAAGAGCTGAGGTCAGATCTGATACAAGAATGGTGGAACAGCCATTTTATAAATGAAAGATTATTTTGTGAATACTTTCAAAAAGATCTGGTTCTTGTTTTATTTAATTGCCAAAAAGACTGAGATCTGCTAAACTGGCACTATGATTTTGAAGGCTGTGGGGAGAAGATGTTTTCACAAGTTTGTCACTTGATAGAGAGATTTGGAATCCAGACCTTGTAGGATCAAATTAAAAGTAAAGTGGTAGAAATCACTCATGCAGAAGAATACGGATTTCGTTCAAGGTCATATGCCTCCATACCATGTAAAATTATAATTGCAGCAGTTTACTCATAGCGTCTTTGAGTCAAGTAGTTGCCTTTCGCTGAGGCTCATGGCTTTGAAACACTTATCCTGTGTTTAACCTTAGGTGCATTCATAGATCTACTGAAATCAAAGGGAGGACTTGAGGTGCAAGTTTTGCTGGATCAGGGCATAAACACGATGCATCAGCAGTTCTGCCTTTGCCTTCTTACCTATTTTAAAAGTATGCTTTAATTTCACCCTTTTAGCACCTAGCTTATCTGAAGTGCTGAGCAATCCTCAGCCCACATTGCCTTCTCAGGAAGTGTCTAGGATCTCAGATGAAGCCCAGTATGTTTACCAGTGAGGCACTGTAAATATGGAGCTGTTAATAAATCCCGCTGTTGTGTTGTCTGTTAAAATAAAGTAATACTCTGAATTTTATTTATATTAAAGGAAACCCTTTTTTGCTAATGGTCAAATTTGTTTGGTTTTTATCTTTTTTCCGTATACACAAGGCTATCGTTGTATGCACTGCAGTGACATGCTTCATTAAGTATATTCCCTGTCTCTGTCAAAATTTTGGAAACCACAAGAGGAATCTTTTTTCCTGAAAAAAAAAATTATTTCTTTTGGTCCTTTAAATGTAAAATATGTGAATAAACTGAAGTGCTTTCATATTTTGATATGTTTCCCTTTGTTTAAATAAATACAGTGGTAAAAGTTCTCATGGTTATATATTATTTGCCCTGAATTATTTGCTGTATTTCCTTCGCTGTTGTATATGTTCTTCCAGGTTTGGGAAGATGCAGATACATATTACTTAAAAGAGTAGTTTTACAAGGATATCTACTAATGCATCATTTTTAATATCTCCTGCAGAAATGTAACCTATAAGTAAGCCTGTCTGGACAAAGAAGCATCTCTAGTAAATGTATAATGACTTCAGCATACTCAGTGAGATTGAACAAGTTCCTTGTAAAGAAAATATATCATAAAGTGTTTAGGTTACAATAGTCTTTTTAATAAAAGAACATCTTTTATGGGAAAACTGTGCTCTCCAGTCTTGGGTCAGATCTTCATTGAAATGCTGTTTTACTTACATGCAAGGATGAGTTTTCATCTTTTAATACAGCACATAAGGAGCAGAAAAATTTTGTTTAGATTCATTGCCTTAGAGGCTGAAGGATATTGTAATTGTCCTCCCTACTGCATGCAGAAATGCTGACTAAAATAAAAAGGGTTTATTTGTCACAACCCTCAGTAACATGCGCCCCAACCCAGCAGAGAGAGGAGGAGACACAATACACATAAACTGAAAAAAGAGAGGTTTCAGCAAGATATGAGGAAAAACCTTTTCACCATGAGGATAGTCAAGCATTGGAAACGGTTGCCCAAAGAGTTTGTACAGTTGTGTTAAAATCTTTGGAGGTTTTCAAGACTAGATAAAGCCCCTAGCAACCTGATCTCATACCTGACCCTGCTTTGAGTGGGAAGGTGGATGAGATGACCCTCTGAGGTGCCTTCTAGCCTGAATTATTCTACGAGTCTATGATATGAAATATCAAATCAGAAAAATAACAGTTGGGCATTAGTTATGATTTTGTTAAGGAAACTTGCACTCCAGTGCTGTGCATCAGCTGAGCAAACTGTTTTTCCAAAAATAAATTTGTGTGACACGTTTGTCAGATCAACTGGTAACTAGTTGATTGGTTGGAAAAATAAAAACTTTGTTCAGCATCTTTTCAGATTATATGCTTTTGAGAGATATATGACATCTCCATGTGGGGACAGCAGGAAAAAAAGAAAAATAAAAAATCAATGATTGACAAGACAGATAAAAGTAAAATGTTAAGGTTTCACTCTGAAAGCAAGTGCTTGCTGAAGAGAGAAATTGTTTCCATTAAACCCATCAAAGAGAAATTTGTGTTCAGTGTTGCATTTCAAGGTGTGCTTCAGAATATAATAAATAAGGTCTGGATTAAGAAAGACTCGTTTATTCTGAAATAATTATTTCCTCAAAGAATTGGAAGTGTATTTCAAAGAAACCGCAACATTTAGGAGTTAATTATCGTCACAGCCTTTGGGAGGTTCACTCTGCCAGAGCTATGCTGACGAATAGATCATCTGCACTCTTTACCTACTGGAATGAAGAAGGTAGGCTATGAAAACACCATAAATACTGCTCAAATTCACGTCAGACTTTCCTCCACTCTCCAGTTGTCACAGTCCTTCAACCCAGAACATGGTGGTGCCCTGAAGCCAGGAATTTGCAAACTCGTGCATCTTTCTGACCAGCCATATAAAGTGATATTGCACGGGGTGATACTAGGCAGAATGAACAAATAATTGCAGAGCTGATTCCTCCAGCTGCTACACTTCCAGCATTTCTTTCTTCACCAATAATACTGCTTTGTATATGTATGTTTGTCATGACAGTCCCTTAAAGCCCAGTTCAGAATCACACTCCTGCCAGATGCCAGTTAGTCACAGAAGTCCTACATCCTTCTTCAAAACCTGTGTAGATGAGATTAAAAAGCCAACATTTAACCCATGAAAAAAGTTAAAATTTTATTTCCTTTGGGAAAGAGCTAATGGGAGGAGGGCTCCTAGCCAACAACCTGCTCCAGCCTGTGTTACTCTTTTCACTTTTTTCTCATGCCTTCAGGACACGCAGCATGACTCTGCTGTGAGATTACAGAAGTGAAGATGCTACCTCACCAAAGTCACCCGCCAAAGCTATTTTTATATAAAATTAAACATTAAGATGGATGCAGACTTGAAAACAGCTGGTCATCAATGCACCAATAATTCACTTAACCACAACCAAAATGTCAAGTGCAAATGTGCTAAAGCATTTTCACAAGTTGCCTGGCTCCCTGCCAGCTCAGTTCTCAGGGCCATTGCTGTGGGCAGCATGTCCAAATAGACTGCAGCCATGTGAAAGACCATACTGCCTTTTTCAGGCTTGTATCTCCATGACAACCCCCTCGAACAAACCCTACGCAGAACTAAGAGCCCTTGCAATATCCAGGCTTTGTCACTCAGATACACGGCCATGCACAGTACCCGGTGGTCCTGGAACTGCTGCTTCAAAACAAGCCGCAAGATGTGGTGAACGGAAAGTACCATAATTCCATCAACTTTACTGTTACACAAGAAAACTGACAGCAGCAATTCTACTGGGTGAAAAGATCAGAAAGTAGGGGGGGAGAGAAAACACAACAAAAAGTAGCAGTAAAACTGGCTGCTGGGAATGTACTAATTTTTTTTCAATCTGGAACAAAAAAGCTTAAAAAACATATAGAAATTATTATGAAACATAAACATTATTTTTGATTCTATTTATGATAACTAAACTTTATTTTTTTGTAGAGGCCTTATTTTTACATCTTCACAATATAGGGTTGCACTTTTCCCAGAATTCCTTTTCCAGAGCTATCCCTTTAAATTTGGCAGAAGCTTTGCTTCTACAGAAGTTGTTTTACAGCTCTGTTTTTTCTTCTGTTGCTGGTAAGTACTCAAATTTTATTGTATTTACTCTTTTGGATTCCCAAGGAAATAGCATGTTTTCATCAGGTTTCATAACATAAGGGAGCTCTTCTGTTTTTTGAAGTATTGATGAATATTCTAATTAAAACTAGCTCTAAGACTAGCCATCAGTCTTCACTGCAGTGCAACAGGCACCTCCCTCCAATGTAAGCCTTTGTATTTATTGTAACTATTTATATAAATGCTGCAGTCAGCTCTGAATCCACATAAACCTAATGCCATTTAAATTAATTTTGTAAGACTTTTTGAGACACTGCTGAATAATTTAGTCAATTCCAAGTTGATTATAACCAGTTCTTCTTTATAATAACTAAGCTTGAAATCTGTTGTTTTAAGAGGCAATCCAGTTCACCTTGTAAAATGTGATGGGAAATACTATTTCTCCAATGCCCATAACAGTTTTATTTTAATCTGGGCAGGGATGTTTTCCTCCTGTGTTTGGCCCACCATTAATTGGCCTAATGGATTGAGTTAAAGGCAGCAATCTTCAAAATCCCACTCCTCTCTCCCTTTGAATGTTTCTACACTAAACAGACTTCTGGCACCACCTTGGCTTCTGATGGGTTTCAGAAATAATTGTTGATGATACAGTAAATTTGTTTTGTATCCCTTGTGTTTAAATCCCAG